GAAATTAATTAAACATATATATATATATATATATATATATATACATATATATATATATATATATATATATATATATATATATATATATATGTTACATTATAATACATTATATTATTTATACACGTTAATATATATATATGTATATATAATAATAATATATTAATTAATCTTGAATAACTATTTAATTATGTTGATACAGCATATCATCATCTTGATCATCTTCGATCTTTCATCACCATCATCTTCTTGGTCCTCAATACCACCAACCTCTTCATGCAGCAACATATCTAGAAACTTTTGCGGGTAGGGCTTGAAATTGTTTAAAAATTATTTTGTTTTATTCTTGCACAAATTTAAAGCATTTTCAAAACTAAAATCAATGGGTTTTTTTTACAAATTTAGCAATTTTCAGCACTAATTTTTCAAAATGAATGTAGAGATTTTATTCAAGCCTTAACCTTAGCTAATTATTTGTTCTTGGACTTGTGCCCTTCAACCCTCACCCCGGCCACCCTCTGTCATCATAATCATCATCGTCATCATCGTGGGTGGGTGCAGGTTCGCCGCGTTCAAGAGAACACACCTCGTTGGCTCACCCTCTGGGGATGATGCATTTGTGAAGTGTTAACAATATCAATGCGGTGGACATGACTATTTAATATCTGTGTATTAAAATCCTACTTGTAAATTTCACATTTTAATCGTTTCATTGAAATATTTTCATATCTTCTATCACGTTTGTTTTCTAATTTGAACCTCCACACCATCACGAGGGAATCAGTTTTCAATTTCATCGGATTTTATTTGTTGATAATAAACTGATTTCTTCATTTTACGTAAATTTAATGAATACTTTGTTGAATGAAAATAAATTATTTTTTTTAATCTTTTCCTTAAAATTTTTTTAGTCACTATCCAAGCGACTTAGAGAGATAAAATCCGGTCGACCCTGCAGGCACAAGGGGGTGGCACACATTCATACAGAACAAACATGCATACTACCTACCGATAAACATTAAACATAGTATCATATTCACACACACACACACATACACACACATGAGCAAATGCACATACACATGTGCAGAAGATAACACAAAAATATATAACATATATATTAAACGAAACCACATAACTATATACTCAGCGTATTTACAAATTCTCACGACTGCTTGAGCCAGCAATGTCCCTCCATTCATCTACAGCACAGCCGCAGAAGAATTTGTTTAAAAATAGCCTGTTTGTATTGCAGCTAGATAGTAAATATCAAATAATTTTTAAATTTTAATGCAATATTTGCCGTAATCGTCAGCACATGCCAGTTAATTCAAATCCAGTTAGTAACTTCAAACCCATTCTGCTCAAATGAACCGAAGACATTTACAATCAAATTTTTATGAATATTGAAATTCCGAATGTTTATAACGAAAACTTTAATTCTGTGCAATGTGAAAAACCATTTTCAATAAGAGATTGCAGAAACACTTTATAATTACATTGACTACATTGGCATAACTAAATCGTTTGGCTCTTGTAAACGCGCATTATCATTCTTACGATAAAAAAATTCTTTCCCGAATTTGCATTTCCAACGCATCACCTTCATGGTGAACTCTTCAAAATAGAAAAGCCAGGGACATTTCATTTTAAATTTTTTCATTCGCAACTCGCAATCGACTTGAATTTCTGTCGCCATCGTCAGTCGTGACGAACTTCTTCCTTCCTTCCACGCAGGCTTCGCGCGTACTCAACTTCGTGTGTGACGGTCTTCAAGCTGAGCTTCACGATTTTAAACATTAACTACATATATATCATATAAATAATTACAGGGAATAGGAGAGAAAAATATATATATATATATATATAAATATAATGAAAGAGAGAGAGAGAGAGAGAGAGAGAGAAACAATTAATTATATATATATTATAAACAAGTTTATGTTTATATAGGTACGTGGTATTTATACATTTTCATTGTTTATATATATATGTATATATATATATGCATGTGCGCTGTGTGTGTGTGTGTGTGTGTGTGTAGCGCCAATTCCACACCACACATACGGAGGGAGCACATATTTTTAACTAGTTAATGACCACGGTCAACATTTTTGGTTGTATCTTCCTGGAGCAGGCTACATTATTATTTGTCTGGTAAGGTTAAATGTTGGCACGGAGGAAGACTTTTTTTTGCCTCATCTGAACAAATTAGTATTTGTTGGCAGCTTTTGAATAAAATATTTTTTGGGAAACTTGTAACTGCAGTAAGATTTCCTAATGACAGTTTCTGTGACCAGCCTGGTGTATGGGCACCCTTAGCAAAACTTTAAATTTTAAAATTCAGTGAGCCCTGGCTCCCGATGAATGTACACCATTCAAACACGATTCTATCCTTTTTCCCCGCAATTGATTCAGCGATGTTTTTAAAGGGTCTCACCTTGAGAGCTTATTATCAACCATGATGGGGTCGATAATGACTATTTAATAATAAATAATAATAATAACAATAATAATAATAACACTAAACATTTGTATACACACATACAGAAAAGATATTTGAATCGCGTTTGTACCAGATAATAAAATTTTTTAGGAGCATAACAAAAATAATAAGAATGTTATTATTGTTATTATTGATATGAACATAATTCGACATAGTTGCACGATTAAATAGCAAACAATGAACGAGCAAGTTGATCTGGAGCTGGTCATTGTTCACATTGTACGTAGCCAGTGAATAGGCAAATAGAGCTTACATATGAAAATTCAACTGTGATTTTATTTTGGCATATCCGTCTGAATATTTGTAAATGTCTTGCGTTTAGAAAATTTCGTCGTTTCTACGGCTTTAGTTAATTTTTAAAATATTTAATTATTATTTTTCATCAGTTACTGCTTTATTTTTTAGTACATTGTTAACAAATTAATTATTTGGTGTTTCTGTACTAATTTTGAACGTTTGTTGATTGTAAAGTAAAGAATTTCAAAATTCTGCAACAGTAAAATAATTAATGAGTCGAAAATCCAGTGGTGAATCGGCGTACTCGAGTGCGGCCGGTATGAACATGAACCAGCAACAAATCGCATTTGACGTGCAATATGTAGGTCATTCAGCTCTCCCAAAAAACGGCACTGGCAATGGTCCACTACAAATCGCTCTCCTCGAAATTTACTCACGTTTCAATACACCAAAAGGAATAAAAAAGTTTCCTCGGGTTTCATTGCTCCTGACTAAAGATGGCTTGAAAGTTAATAAAAACGATGGTAGCTTATTTTATTCGCTGTCTAATATTTCAGAATGTAGAGCTGTAACATTTGTTGGAAGCAAAACAAAAATGAACGGTAAAAAAACTTACGGTTATACATTTGAGCAGGTCAGACAACAACATCAACCGTCACAACAATTTCAAAACTGGATACTTAGTAAAGAACAAAAATATCTGTTGAAAACTAAGCATTCTCCAATACTTGCATGTGTTTTGAGAAGTGAGCTGGGTATAAAAACGTTGGATGTGCATGCCTTCGTGTGTCAGAATAAAGATCAGGCCCTCTCCATCAGCCTCAGCATTGAAATGGCACTTCGAACGCTCGCTGATAAAATTCAACAGGAATCACAACTATTCAATTACGATCCTTACAGCAGCAGCAAGAATGATGTAGGCAACAGTGTTGCTGGTAGGTACTGTGGTGTGGGAGGCAACTTCAAAAACAACGGTGGTAACGTCGGTAACGGTAGTGGAATCGGTTGTGAAAAGAGAAATGAATACAAGCAGCTGAGGTCACGTAATGCTCCAGAGAGACAAACATTTTCCCCATCAACAACCAAAGATGCCGAATTACCTGAAGTGATTGAAATTTTGGGAGCATTAGGCGCAGGAAAAGGAAGTGTCGTCAATCCGGTAATAAGAACAACCAACGTCAATCTGATTAACTCAAATTTTTTCGAAACTCCCCAATATCAAAATACTCCTAATAATGAAAACCGAGTGTTTCAATTGAATCAAAATGATATGTCTAGACCTCAACAACAACAACAGCAGCAACAACAACAACAATATCAACAAGCCATGCAACGAAAACATCCCCAACAAAAACCATCCAGATCAGCTAGTATGCATTTCTTGAATGACACTTCACTATTCACGGAACATCTAACTTTCGACGACCTCTACCATGACCAGAAAAACAAAGCCAGCTACAGTTTTGAAAAAAATAAAGTAGAAGAAAGCAGAAAGCCTCAAGTAAAACCTGTTCAACTGAGTCGTAGTCGGTCTTTCAAAAACGAAACGAACGTGGAAGAAATCGGACTGCCAAGGAAAGCCGTCACACCCGACGACGGTTGGAAAGTTACAAATTTTAGCAATGTTAACGATACAAATTTTTCAGCGAATTCGTGCGTTAATTTGAATCCAATGGGTGATAAGCCAGCTAAGCCAATTGCAATGGTCCAACCTCGCAAAATTCAGGGTATCAAAGTTTTTCCAGCAGGTAACGATAGAACTCTTCTCATACCGGAAAAAACAAAATTTCTCAAAAAAACAAAAAACACGTCTCAACCTGAACAGTTGGCAGCATCACAGCTCAAAGAATCTAAGCTAACCAAACGTGATTCCATGGCGCTGTATGCTACTGTCTCAAAAGTTAATCGACAAAATGACATTAAGAATTCTAACGTGAATAATATCTACATGAACTGCTCTAAAACTGATTTGAGTCAAAATTTCAATGTTCTTTCGAATTCCAGCAATAACCTGAACAAATTGACGCCCATTATGAATAAAAGTGACAAAAAAGAAGCAAAAGATCAATTTGTTATGAAAACTTCGTCTGAGTATCAAATAAAAAAGCAGGTGGTAAACGGGAGTGCAGAAAAAGAAGGAAGGAATGAAAGGATGATGATATGGGCAGAAGAATCAAATCAAGACATAACATGGAACTGATTTAAGAATTTTTTAACTGCCTACATTAATTTTTTTTGCATTTCAATGTTTTTTCTATGTGGTTTGTTCAAAAATTTATTTATCTTATTTTCAAAATTGGTATAAGAAATCAAAATTCAAAGCCCATGTAAAACTTTAAATTCAAAACGGCTATTTATTATTATTATTATTTTTCAGTTTACACTTTTTAGAAACCTTTAACCATAAGTCATTTGAACATAATAAAAAAATATTTTAAAAGTAATGCGGTGGATAGATTCAATTTTGTCTGAGTCACTTTATGCTGTGACAAAACCAGAGTTTTCTTATTAAACTTTAATAAACATTTCTTTAATAAAACAAATCTTGGAAATTGCAAAAATGTAAAGGTTAACACCGGTGGGGCACAGCTCCCTCTAGTTGTGAGCAATTTTTATTAAAATTCAGAAAAAAGACTGTTTCTTGTGTAAAACCGACCAAAAACTGAACTTGAAAAGCCAAAAAAAGGTCGTTAGCCCCACTACTAAAAATCATGGCCCCCCACCCGTGAAAATTTTAATATTTTTTATTTTTTGGTTTCTCCCCCGGTCAAAATTGTCTAGATCTGCCACTGGTCAACACCAGCATTACTAACCACAGCGACACACGCAAGACGATTTCATACATATGTGTGTATAAAATAAAAAAAATATGTATGCAAATATATATAAGTCTTCACTTTGAAAAAATAATTTGGTTGATATCGCATGTCAAGGAGTTGTTAATAGTTGTAAGGACGGGCGGTGCTAGCGTGTCAGAGGCCGGGTGCAAAAGAAATGTGCGGCGCTGTAACTTTAATGAAGAAAAGTTTTACCGGGAATAACTTGCATTAAATTAATGAAAGTATAAATTTGTTGTTTTAGCCAAATTTAAAAAAACAGCAAAAACAACAAAGTTATACTTACTACAGACTCCAAGTTTAACAGCGATTCAACACAATATCAAAAACGCCCATAAACAATGCAGACACAAATATAATGAATAACACTTTAAACAATAATACCGAATTTGTTTTAAAGAGCAAATACATTCTAAGTGACACAGGAATTGAAGGCAGAAAAAGCAGCTACAATAACACATTTACTACCAGTGACGACCGCGGGAAAAGAAGTTTTCAAAAAAATTTAATGACCGGGGGTTAGGGTTAATGCTAACTTCAATAACGCCAAGAAAAAATTTAAAGAAAAAAAAAATTTCTAATCTAAGTTGATATCTAAAAACACAAATAAATTGGTTGGCAATTGTCCATACACACACACACACACACACACACACACACACACACACACACACACACAAACACACACACACACACACACATATATATATATATATATATATATATATCAATCAATCAATCAATAAGAAACTTATATAGCGCCAATTAAATGTTCTCAAAGGCGCTATCGTAATTATATAAACATTGAAGTCTACAATACTATTAAAAAAAAACAGAACAACTTAACTAAAATTATCAAAGTTTAAGAGTGAACAAATATGTTTTTAATTCTTTTTTAAATGTTCTAAGAGACAGTCCGGATGATCGCAATGACTGTGGCAAGCTGTTCCACACGGTCGGACCTGCAACAGAAATACTCCGTGCACCAATCTGCAAGTGTGAAACCGGTATTGTCAACAAATTCATATCATCTGATTGTAGATGAGACGAAGCAGACATTTTTTTTGAAAATTTGTTTACGAGATATTCTGGTGACATTCCATTCAGTGATTTAAACACAAGAACAACGATTTTGAAGGTTACTCTTTTATCTATTGTCAACCAGTGTAGTTCCTCCAGGATGGGCGTCACGTGATCAAACTTCATCCTGCCAGTTACCAATTTTGCAGCCCTGTTCTGAATCGACTGAAGAAGAGCGATTGACCCTCTTGGAAGTTTATAAAACAGACTGTTGCATAGTCAATTCGCGATGTTATAAAAGCATGAATCAGCGTCACCAGTGCCGATCTATCCAATAAATGTTTATTAAATAAATATTACTTAACGTATATATTTTTTAATGTAGTCTTTCATTGATAAATTGCTATCAAGTAAAATTCCCAAATTTGATGCAGTTGCAGATAATAATATCTTTACATCTCCCATCTCAACAGAACAGAAATCCAGTTTTGACAACTGCTGCCACGAACCTACCGGTAGCAACTGCGTTTTACATTCATTGAGCTTGAGCGAGTTTGATGACATCCAATATCTCACCTCTTTCAAACACTAGACAAATTTATCAACCTCATCCCGAAACGAACCTGGAAGACCAGTGACTTGAACCTGAATGTCGTCGGCAAACGCATGACAAGTGAATCCATGAGAGGAAATTATTTTGATTATATCTGCTGTGTACAAAATAAAAAGAATTGGTCCTAAAACTGGGCCTTGTGGCACACCTGTTGTTACCAAGGCAACATCAGACATTGAATTGTTAAACGAAACCTGCTGTGTTCGGTTCGTCAAATACGACCTGAACCATTTATGAGCTGTGTCTGTAATACCATAATCGTTACGTAATCTTGCCAGCAAAACATCATGGTTGCAAAACATCATGGTAAGCAAAACATCATATTCATATATATAAATATATATATATATATATATTATTGTATGAATTCCACCAAATTGTTGGCCTTAATCAATTTAAAGTTTGTCTTTTCAATTTTCCTTACTAAAATTTTTTGGAAATTGTTCAATTTATTGAAAATCGATTTATCAAATTCATCATGCGAATTTATAAAAAATGAAACTTTTGTTATCAAAATTCATCAAGCAGATAGGCCCCATTTCGATTTTTCACAAATATAAATTTTTTAACTATGTTATAACGTTGTAAAGTACAAGATAGATACTGTATAACAATAATTCATTACCTGATATAAATTTCAGAAATATATTGGCACAATTAGTTGTATCTTAATATTCCTTACTTGTCTAGTTACAATAAAATTTTCTGGAGAGGATTATTTTGTACATTCACTCACTATTATATCATTATAAACGAAGTCGTAAATGTGATTTATGTAATTACTTAAATTAGTTTATTGTTTCTACTACTGGCATTTAAATAAACGTTTAACCGGGCATGCATTTGAAGCAGTTGTGTTCCTCTATTGGAATCTTGAACCTATGGAATAAGAACACTTGACGATCGTTGGAAGCTACAACATTGGTGTTAGAGAAATAAAAATCTTGGGTGTTATAACATTGGTGTTGGTAGTAACGAGCATTCAAATGTTACGACAATATGTATATATAATGATAGTCCTCGTCTTATGTGGAGACAACATTCGAACCTGATCTGATTTTCATAATTTTCCAAAATAGTTTGGTTACTGTAGAAATTTGGAATATATACTCGAAAAGCTCGTTTGGATACAATCCATTGAACAAATAACTTTATTAAAATGGTTTTCACGTGTTTTATACCTGTAGTCATTGGCCCATGGCCTATTTCTCAAAAAATTTACTAGAAGCCAGAGTGGCATTGACATCCGACATTTGTTACAATCGGTGCACACTTTGAGACAAATAAATTCGCAACAGCTATAATCAGTGGCGGATCTAAACATCTATGATGGGGGCCTAAATTTTGAAAAAGATTTACAATTTGGAAATGTGACAGGCGACCAAGAAAATGAAGCTGGCGACATGTTTTTTTTTCTTATCAAGTCAATTTTTGGTCGATTTTTTTCATTAAAGTGAAATATTGTTTTTCTGTTATTTTAAACAAATACTGCTGCTAACCACGTGGGTGATCATCTCGGCCCTTTCAGGTTCGCCACTGGATTATATTGTATTATATTACGACATAAAGGTTCGGATCAAATGTTATGTTTCAATGATGGCTGCACACAAAAAATGCAAGTTCTATTGAAATTAAGGGAGTAGAGACCCTAAATGCTGAGTAGGGTTACATGAATATTTCATTTTTTGAACGCCCCAAAAATATAATTATTTAACTCTAAGTGACAAATTTTTATTGAACTGTAAAATGTTTTAATCATTACAAATTTGATTTTTTATCCATAATTCTGACTCTTCAATCAATGCAGGTTTAAATAAAAATGTTGAAAGTTAAGCAAACTTCTTATACAACCACATCGCAAACTTCGATAAAACATTGTTATTCATCAATACTCTGTTGATGAATCCAATATTCTTTTGGGCAAACTTTTAGCTGTGAGGGCCGCGTTGAGAACTATTTTATCTTTGAAGGGCCGCTTATGTACTTATGTACCTAAATGAAAAAAATTTTTGACCCGGAAAACAATTTTTTAAGACCATTATTTATTTGATTATTTGGTCATAATGTCTGGCTTACGATCTTTTTTGGCGGACAAGCGACCAAAAAACCAAAAATAGCTTCGCAGTGTATATGCAGCTAACTAAGGAGGATTCATTCAATTTTATGAATGTGTCCTATTAAACAATCAATAATATAACACTTTGACATACACCCAACTAAAATACAACAGCAATAAAATATTAAAAAAACGATGCAACAACAACACAACAACAACGACATCAATTTTGAAAACTCTTTACACCACTACAACAACAACCACAACACAGCAGCCACAACAACAACAACAACCACAACAACAACAACAGCCACGAAACAACAACAGCAGCATTAGCATCAAGCTGATAACGACACAACAACAGCAACAACAATGAATACATTAATAATGATAGTAAGGTGGACAACAATAGAGATGATAACATTGATAACAACAGCAACAGAAACATCAACTTTGAAAACTGCAGCTATAACAACTACAACAACATCAACACAACAACATCAGCCGGACCAGCAACTTTAATGTAGCAGCAACAATTAAAAACAACAACAATCACTATCACTACAATAGAACATCATCAACAACATCATGACCTCGCAAATGTCATCAACAATCACAATAATGACAATAATAAATATAATATCAATCAATCAATACTAATAACAAAAGTCATGATGATGATGATGATGATGATGATAAAGATGATAAAGATGATAAGTGAATACATGTTAAACGACACGTCATACACTTAACAATGTGATAGGCGGAGATGTTTTTGTCAAATTCGAACCCGGTTACTGCGAAATACCATCGGTGGACCTTAACCACTAGACCATCAGACCGTCAAGTGCTTAAAGTCCTCGTTCTATTGTATCTTTAGTGATTGAAGAGTAGGTTTGATTTCGTTCAAATCAAGAAGCATATTGTCGATTTTGATTAGTTGTTGAACAATTCACTCCAGAAACAATTCATTCCTTTGTCGTCGTTGGATTTTAAATAATTACAAAGTTTGGTCATAAATGACTCGGCTAAAGGTTTGAGAGACCTTGCGTTCAGTCCACTTAACTTGAAGAGATGCGACAAGCTTCCTGACACACAGAACTGCTGATTGGCAATGATAGCCATGTTCCAATCGCTTTTATCACTAAAAGGTCAAGGCAATTACCAATCCAGCATGTGAAACCTGAGGCTGGATGCACCGCACTGTTTGCACGTGCCTGCAGCCGGCCATGCGATTTAATTAACATTAATAAACATTTATCGTACGTTAATGTTAATAATTTGATTTAATTTAATTTAAATTTCAGTTGGAAACTGTTTTAATTTAAAATCAATAAGCGATACTTTGAGGTGTACTTTAATACGGAGAGCTAGCTAGCAAGCTAAATTTCGAATCATTTGAAGCGAGCGTAAATATCAAAATTGAAACCTTTAATGAACTATCGAGAACTAACCAAAACTTATCAACGACCAAAAATGGAAGAAAAATTATGTGGATCCATTATGAATGGAATTGAATTGTATTCACGCCTCCTCGCAAAACGTGAATACAATTACGAGCAAGCAACAGAGACTCGATTGGAGGTTTAACGGAACAGACAGGACAAACAGTTAAAACAGTTATTAAACGGGCTTGGAATATCTTTTGTGAACCTGTTGTAAGTGATCACGTGTTTTAACTTTTTGGACAAAATTTAACAAATGTTTACATTAAAAAAGAAAGTAGATGACTGCTTTTATGTTTGTTTTTTCATAACAGGATCACGTAAACAATTAACATGCAAACAAATGGCGTAATGTTCATTAATATTTTTACTTTACAACAAATTCTATTAACTGGTTCATATAAGTCATTAACATTATTCTTCAGGTTTGTTCAACGTTAACTTGTCTGTTCTTTTTATTTCATTATAAGATTCATGGAAAAATATCAGATCCTGTAAACAAATTGTTATAAATCTGTTTAATTAAAATGATTAAAAATACATATTTAATTTGAATCAGAGTTTTGAAAGAACTTGCCTAACGGTACATCGGCCGAGCATGGATTGACTTTTACATAATGGACAAATCCTTGGCTTTTCACTTCTGCTTTGACAAATCCAAAATCAAAATAAATTTTGCATTCAGATATTCGCGTGCTTTCAATGAAGAGATCAACTTTGTTTCCTAAACGAGAATCGAAGAGGACCAGCCCGGGTTCTACGGCCACGTCGAAGCCCTGACAGTTCGCTCTCTTCTCGCATGCTTGTTTGCATTCGCGTATGTCTGCAATACTTTTTACTACGATAGCTTCATTGCTCGTTGTGTTTGCTGACTGGTAGAACTTGGAGCGAGAATTAATCCGGACGTTCCATGCAGTGCTGCACAGATCAGCTGCATTTGAGAAAATAGTTTTTAAGAGTTTGTTATTACATCTCAAATATCAATTGTTCTAAAACATTTAGGATTATTTTCAAAAGTGCTATTCTTTAAAATTTCAATTGATTCAAAAAATAATATTTTTAATGGAGCATCGCTGACATCTCTTTATAATTGCTCTGATTTGCGAACCATTCCAACATAAATTAAACCTTAGCTAGTTGTAAGTTGAAACAATTTTTTAATTATCATTCAAAATTAAAACATGCCCTCAGTTAGTTTTCTAACATTCATCGGAGCATGGAAAGAAAAGCTTCCTGTAGACATCACCCACTGGACTGGAGACAAGATCCTCATCGCTTATCTGGACGTGAGACAGTTTGCACACGACAGGCGCGTTGCTTGGCTGGCTTACCATTATCGTGTGCAGCACCTTCATTCAATGGATGTTATCACATGCATGTCACACATGTCAACTGCTCATGTATGCAAACATCTGCCGAGAGGCTTTCAACATTTCCCAACAACACTGTTTGATGCTCGCAGATATTTATGGATTTGAACATTTTTTGGAACAGAAATTAATTTGTTGGATTTCTTGATGATTCAATTGATTTAATCAGTAGCGTTCAAAATAATAATAATAGTAATAACAATAATAGTAATAACAATAATAATAATAATAACAATAGTAATAATAATAAAAATAATAATGTAAACTTTTTTATTTTCCAAAGAAAGAGCTTAAGTAAAATCAAAATATTGACAATGAAATAAAATTGAATAAAATTAAGTATACAGTTAGATGAATAAAATAAAAAAAATGAAGATAAAGTGTTAGAGTAATACGGATAGTCATCATTGCTTGTCATCTTATGAAAATAAGTACCATGATGATAAATAGTATAAAAAACTTCACTCATTGTTTCTATCACAGTACAAAGCATATGATGACGAAATTACTGTTAATCAAGCTAAATCTAAAATAATCGGTCCAAGTTATATCAATTAAAGACATATTAAAAGGATTGTAAAAGCCAATTGGCGATATTTCAAAGGTATTAATTAAAATATTGCAATGCTTAAAGTCATCAATAATATTATCTTTCAAATTACCAATATATTTATTCATTTTAAATTGTTTTGATTTTATGAAGTTAGTTTCATGGCAGACAGTCAGTTCAAGTATCTCGATCGTGTCTTTGTTGCGGACAGCAATGTCAGGACGGAGTGATCTGAACAAGTCTGTTATTGGTCGTATCTTTTCCCCTTTCAAATCCGCAAAAATCTCGACACCCAGCCTCATGTCTACCATGAAATTATCGATAATTATTTTTAAAATTTTGTTGTGGCAATCTAAGTATCTGCTCAATGCAGATGATGAGCCACAGTTTGACATGACGTGTTTGTTCGTTTGTGTTGCATTGCAGAGCAAACATGATGCATTTGTAGTTTTGCCCCATCTGAAGAGGTTGGCGTTTGTTGGTAGCTGTTGAATAAGGTATTTTCTGGTGAATTTATAGCTGATAGTTTTACAGTCGACCTGGACCATCGCGTTATCTCGGAGCTATTGATGTACTCTTTTATTGATTTCACAAGGGTACCTTGGCATTGCAGCAGCGAGAGATGATTAAAGTTCGTTTCATAATGCTTCTGTTTTAGAGCATTCATTGTTGGTTTTAATTCAACATTTCCCAGGATCAGGTTGTCAATCTTTCCATAATTGTTGTGAGATTCACTCCACAATGATCTCATTTCTTCATTACTATTCAATTTGAGATAACCACGGAGTTTTAGACGTAACATCTCGGCGTGCTGTTTCAACGATTTTATGTTGAGGCCTCCAGTTTTATACGGCAGCGAGCTAACTTCGGCGATGCAACTGCTTATGGGCATTGATAGCCATTCTCTTACTGTTTTTGTCACAAGGCGGTCCAGTGTTTTCTATCCAGGTTAGCGAAATATTGTAGGTGCGTAGTTCAAATGAGATTTGAGTAGGGACAAAACGCCTAAGAACTTCCAGCTTCCATTGAACAGTTATATCCAGTCCACCAATTTTCCTTAGCATAACCTTGAGCTTATTGTGCAGTGTGTCTTTCTCTCTGGTATCTTTGCCCTCAAAATCGTACATTATTCCTAAGTACGTAAAACCTTCGTTAATATTCACCCGGGGAATTATTTCATCATCTATTGTCAATTGAGGCAAAAGCTGCTCATACTTTCCGTCCAGCTTCCACATCCCAAATGTACAGCATTTGTCAGTTCTCAGTTTCATACCCGTCTATTTGCACCATGCTTGGCTGAGATTGATCAGTCTCTGGGCACTCTCGGAACTGTTAGCAATGATTGCCGAATCGTCGGCAAACTGAAACCAGCCTCTGGATTTTAGATTGGCATCCGCATTGTTGATATTGTTTTGCATCTAGCATTTTCATTAGAGGATTGAAACAGAGGTTAAAAATTAATGGTGAGCCTGGATCACCTTGTAGGACCCCCTTTTTTACTTGAATTGGGGAGGTTAGTTTGTTGCACGCCGATACAGTTATCGAGTGATCGGCGTATATTGATCTAATTAGATTGCTGACCTGGTTTGGGATGTGGTGATAACTTAGGATAGATGAAATTAGATCATGGCTAACCTCGCCAAATGCATTTCTTAAATCTATGAGGGTAACAATGATTGTCCTCTGATGTCTCTTGGCGTCCTTTAGAAGGTGAGATAGTAGTTGCGTGTGTTCAGCTACACCGTCAACTTTGAGGTATGTTTTATGTTTGAGGTATGCCTTTTTGGATGTTTTTATTAATGAAGTTGTTTGAATCTAAATATTTGTATATTCTATTGTTTACAAATGTTGAGAAAATTTTATAGAATACTGGTTGAAGTGTTATTGGCCTGAAATTCGTTGGGTCGTTGGCGTTTCCCTTTTTTGTAAATCAGTATGGTCAACCCTTTTCTCCAGCATGTAGGGATCGACGACGTTCTCCAACACTCAACCAGTAATAGATGAAGGATTGTGCGAAGTATGGGACATTTTTTGAGAATTATTATTAACATTTGATCTAAAGGACAAGGAGATGCTTTCGACTTGCATTTCTTGATTATTGAGAATATTTCATTGTATGTAGGAGTATTGGTATTGCAGGCAATTGAAGGGATCGTTAGAGGTTCGATCCAATTTGGAAGGCGATATTTATTGTGAAATGGGTTTTTTAAAATTTTGTTTAAAAATTTGTTGGCTTCTTCGACGCTAAACAGTGGTGACAGAGCGGTTGTCGGATTTAGTAATTTTTCACACGTTGCCCAGAATTTTTGTTTTAATTGGCTTGTGATATTGACTGTTTTTTCAGCTTTTATCGCTTTTGCTGATGATATTTTTGATCTAATATGTTTGCTCAGCGTGCTAATTTGGACGTCAAAATTGTGGTTGTTACGGCCTAGCAGCTTTAATTGTCTCAATTCTGACTTTAGTTTGTTGATTGGTTTATCGAGTGTTGTTATTGAGCTTGATTTTTGATTAAGAGTGCCGTAGTTTGATGCGAAATAATTGTAAATTAGTGTTTGTAGAGTGGTAGTGAAGTTATTGATGTCAGTAATGTTTGGCACTGTTGCTATTTGAGAGTGGAAATATGCATTGGCTTCAAGCCAATGAGTTGTTGTTTTGGGTAGTTTAATCCCTAGGAGTGGTGTATTGTTCGTGTTGTTTGCCGGTGGCAGTGATGTTGGCGGCGACGTTGATGTTGACGGCGGTGGAGATTCTTTCTGTTGCATCGGAGATGACGTCAATTTGGAATCCGCTTCTGGATCATTTGGAGATTTTCTCGAATTTTGCAAGTCCTTGAATGTTTTGCACGATCGTTGGTGCATTCGCAAACCTTTTCTCCCTTTACATCGTCTACCACAGCAACAAGTTGTTAAATTGTAATCAGTATCAACGGCAATATTATTATTTAAATTATTGGCTAGTAAATTTGGAGAAATTATGATATTTTCACCTGTTTGTAAACGTGCATTATTGTAATTGTTACTGTTTGCAGTAGATTTTGTACAACGCCAGGAGTGGCTTCCGAGTTTAACAAGATCTCTAAAGCAATATGGGCATTTTGCAGCATTTACTATTAAAATTAAGTTAAAATTATAATTAAATTTAATAGATATTTAGAATTAGGAAAAGTTATAATTAGAATTATAATTTTATTCGTCATAATTTTTCGCAATTTTTACACCTATTTTTTCTACTTTAAAACGATATAAAACTCGATTAATGTAACTAAAATAGTGAGCTAGTAGAAGTCTGCCAACTCTCGTATTTCGCAATATAATAATGATAATAATAATAATAACAATACTAATAATAATAATAATAATAATGGAAACTTCTTTTATTTGAAAAAATCGACCTTTTCAATAGAAAATGAAAAGAAAATCAAATCGTTAATAAGAAAAGAGAAAGAGAAAATTGTTAATGATTTAATTTACGTCATTATGAAGACCCATAAAATGTTTACATCTCTATAATAATAATAATAATAATAAAAATAATATAATTTTATATAGCGCCCTAACAAGCGACTATGGCGCTTCATTACTATTACAACAAATACACTGTGTAAAAACACGTGAATCAACACATCGCACACTTTTTGCATGCGATTGGCGGAGATTTTGTTATATTCGAACGCGGACATTGCAACATCAAAGCCAGGCACCTTAACCACTACACTACCGCGCCGTCGTATCTAAAATAATTTTTTTTTGTAGTAAGTTTAAAGTAATTTATTATAATAAGTAATTTAATAATTTTCGTTTGGATTGAAAAATTGTGGAAGAACCTGGAAAGCTTTGCAGTGGACGTCAGTCTGGCAGGACTCACGACACATCTCCATGCTGCTGACCACCAGCTGCTTCACCTTGATCTTCCCAGAAAAAACACGATTGTAATGGGGCGTGTAGTAAACGTTGCATCCTGAGGAAAGTAGCGTTTGATGATTTTTGATCGGGTTGATGTCATGTAAAAGTTGTTTCCATTTCAAACTCTGAGAAATATAATTTATGTATGCGCTAGAATAACGCTTCAAACTTCGATTGCAACGTACTGATGAGTAAGCAACATCTGCGAAAGCGATCTACCAACGTAAGAATAAATAGCACTGAGCACACTACAAACTTTTAACGCATCTTCTCTTCATGACGACCACAATATTTCCCACTTTCTTCACCTCACTGTTCAGTTTGCTGGCCTGCTGCATGTCATAGTAGGAGCAAACTGGCTCACGCGCCGATATAACAGCGGCATAGCAGTTAGCATTGTTCGTACAGAACTTCAAACACTCTTCAGCGGACCTCAAGTGTTGCAGAGCACCTGCCTTCTCTGTGTAGCCGATATTTTCCAGAATTACCCATTCGCTGGAACAGACTTGAAACCAATTTTATAAAAAAATAAAAATTTAATTTAGCCACATTTTTAATAAAATATTAACTGCTAAATTTAAAATGAAATAAATGGTAACGTTTCATTTAAATTTGAATTTTAACTGAATAACTTATAATTTTATAAAAAATGGAATACAAAATTAATTTTATTTTCATGCCAACGAATGAGAATATAGATATTTCTGTAAAAAGCACGGAAACGATAATCTTCACAAAACGATGATATATAATTAATTTATACAAAACTACTAAATTATAAAAGACATATTTGTCCATTAACTGATCTGGCAGGTGATGAACTCTTTTTTCAAACATGAAATATTGGAAATTAAAGAACACAATCGACAGCATCTCGTTCGATGTCGAAGGACTCACCGACTGGACAGCTGTCGACTCTCTCAAACATCAGCACAGCGTTTGCAGCGCTCAATTTTGAAAAATCGGGAAAGAGTGTGTCCACGTTGAGAGAGGCAGAACTCCTCTGCGGACAGTTAACTTCGCATCTTCTGCACTCGACGTTCCTACTTTCGTTGGAGTAAACGACGAAGAAGCCCAAGCATCTGTCGTCAGCCACGCACCTGTTCATGCATTCGTATTCGACGGGTGCCGAAGGGGCAGGTGTGGTCGGCGTGGCGAGGAGGAGGTCGCCCTGGCAGGGACACAAGAAGGTAGAAGAGGGTCGAAAGTGGGGGAAGCATTGAGGGAAGTGATCTGACACGTGATCATAGTAATCATGTTGAAATAATGCAAAGTTTATAACAAATTTATTATCTGTTTGAATCATAATTTTTAATAAATTAAATTAAGGTGGAGGATGCTTTGCTTTTTTGAACATAATTTGAGGCTAATCAAGATAACATACAGGTCAAAATTTCAAAACGTGTTTCTTTTTTTTTTAATTTCTCTCCCCACTCAATTCATATGGCCTGTCAGAAGTTTCGTTGTATCATGAACATGAAATGAACGTCAAAAGGGGTCAACAATAGCTACTACAACTACAAACACTTACCAGGAAATTGAAAAACGGATCATGTTAAATGTTAAAAGGAAACATTGGCAAGCAAAAAGCACCAACCAGACGTGTGAGCAGCCCTTTCGTAAACATACAAGCCCTCAACGTTCACATCTTCTGTACTTTCTGTGGAGCCATTAAAATTGGCAACCAACTGACATCTGATAGAATTCGTTTGATGGTTTGGCGTAGAAGGCAGTCTGACTGATTGGAATCCGAAACATTTGGTATTGTTGGCACACGTCAGCATGCACTCATCCACCGTGGAATTGTCCAAGGTCGAAATGACCAGTGGATCGGCCGAACTTCGGTTGGCGGATGATGCGGTGATAACTTTTGGAAAGAACCTCCAAAAAGACATTTGGTCTGCCAGGTGGAGGTTGTTAAGAAAGCAATTAAAACACGTGCACGATTCTTAAATGCAAATTATTTTACAATTTTTTATTCAAAAGACAGTTGATTCAAAAATTTTTTTTTAGTTTTGGTAAATATTACGATTGTTAATGTTCATGTTGGTGCAATTTTATAAATTATTTACAAATGTTTTCTTACTTTTCTGAGTTGAAACCAAACTGAACAACATTAGTAATCTTAAGAAATAAATTAACTTCATTATGAACAATGTTGCAACTTTTTATCGACAATTTTCTATCTCGATTAATTATATTATATGTCTTGTTTACAAAATTTATTCAAGTTTAAACAATTCAACTATGTTGCTAATAACTGTTATCGCGCACAACTGAACACTGAATCATTGAAGCTGCATTAAGTTCAGTCTGTCCAATGGGATATCTTGAAACTGGCCAATCCTTCGATATGCGTGTTAACAGCATAAAGCCGTATGTTCGTCTATGAAAACAAAATAGAAAGAACGAAGCTCTACCATTTAATTATTCAAAACATTTCAAAAATATTAACAACAATAACAATGTCTCAACTTTATAAATTTCACCAACATAAAATTATGTCAGCGCAAAAATCTTAAAGCAGTAAAATCTTTATGTCCAACAAACATTCAACGCGTTTTACAATAATTTCATTCGCAACATGTTCACGTTAAAATGTTAACAAATCCATTAAAGAAGCGTCGAAGACTGGTTGAAAGTTCAGGCGAAGACCTTGGTAAATCCTGTGAAGTGAGGAAATTAAACATTTGTCCCATACCACACTGGACATTTGTGCGTTTCAATAAAAAGTTACTTCAAAAAAAATAAGAAAATTATTTGATTAAAGTTAATATCAGCATCAAACTGGTCCATTATAAATTCATTCACTAAGTTTTTATTGTTTAATTTGGTAGTGGCAGCCATTTTATTATAAGTCAATCAATCAATCAATCGATCAATCAATCAATCAATCAATTAATCAATCAGTCAGTCAGTCAATCGATCAATCAATCAATCAATCACCAACAAACTTATCAACAATCAAAACAACTAATCATTCATTTAATCAACAAACACAACCAACCGACTAACCAATCAACAAACCAACCAACCAACCAACCGATTAACCAACCAACCAACCAACCGATTAACCAACCAACCAACCATCCAACTCACCATCACTCCAGCACGGATCGGCATAGTAGAAATGAATGAACCCATCAGACCATTCAGTTAGTTGCACCTCGCGAGGACTCAGCAACAAGTAGCATTCAACTGATGCGAGAGATTCAACAACTGCGACAGATGGCAGTTGCAGGATCTTTATAAATTCATTCGCCAGGTTTTTGTCGTTCAGTAAACTTGCGACGAAGCTGGACTGACGTGCCTGCAGTGGGCGCCGGACCGGAGATTCGGAGGATAACATGACGTCGAAACCGTAGCAAGGCCTCGAGTGATTCAAACATTCGTGCTGGCATCTGACGCCAAATTATATTAAGTCGTAAGTGTAGTCGTTTAAATCTAAAATTATTCAACGTCACAACGTTAAAGCGTGGTTCTTCACAGAATCACACGTTGCTGATGAAGGACACGTTAGTCTCAGTTTCAATTAGTTGCCCTTCGCTAAGTATCAAGCAGAGTGCACACATTCACAAAGTAAGAAGCACACACAAGCAACCTCATCAATGAGATGTTTTGTATGAGTGTCCGTGCCTCCTGCTGGTGACGTATGTAGCGGTGGTTCAACTGCTGGGACCATATCTTGTTGCAACCTTTCGAAATGTTGGAGTGGATGCAACTTACAGATATGATCCCACATGTATTATGCTGATATTTTATTGATACAAACTCATGTAGAGTTACGCACAATTTAACAAAAGTCACCTTCAAAGCAGGCATCGCTTCCACAAACAAACGATTAAATGTGTGTATTGAATATTGAACATAAAAATGGTTATTACTTTGTTTCTTAATGGAAACCGTCTGTTCAATTTTTCTGAAGCCGTATTTTGCGGCTCGTGCCAGCGGCTGGTCGCCACTGAGCAGCGTGCACTTCCTTTCAAGATTGCGCTCGACGAGCATCAACAACTCGCGCGACAGGTGCCGTCGTTGCTGCTTCTGTTGTCGATACTGGGCGATGAACTTCTCGTTCAGTTCGAAAGACAGGCAGGATAAGCTGAATGAACACTTGTCCCTGCAGATCTCGTAATAACGCTGCACTTCCCGAGGTTCGGCGGTTAAGTTGGAGAGGAAGGTTGAGGACCTTTCACCGAGAGGCGAGTAGGAAACGTTCGACCCTGCAGCAAGTGGTCGGGGAAGTATTGTTGTACTTTCAACGCTTTCAACTTAAGGTTGAACTTTTAAGTTTTAAATATAATTACACAACCACCGTATTGTTGTGAGAATTTCTGTTATGAAATTTTAAACATAAACAGATTTTAATTTAATTCTTCAATTGAATAAGCTTATAAACATGAACTTAAATTATTAGTAAAAAAGTTAAGCGAATTTTGCAAAATAAGCTGACAAAAATTGTTAGCAACAACAACAACAATAACAACGACAACAACAACAACAATGCCATTATCAATAACATCGAAAACAAAAAATTAACGGTCAAAAAATTATTAACTTTAACAACAACATCAGTTAAGTGACCACCACCAACAACAACAAAGTAAACAACAACAACAACAAAGTAAACAACAACAACAACAAACAACAACAACAAAGTAAACAACAACAAACAACAACGACGACGACGACGGCCACACAGGTGCATAACATTACTTTTAACACATCTCCTCAATGTGTACTCGACGGCTCCCAAATTTTCAATCGTCTGCATCACAAGCTTCCCGCCACTTTCCCCACTTGCAAACACACCACCCCCATCATCAACGCTGCCGATGTTCTCCCTGTAGAACTGACATTTGGGGTAGTTGAGCTTCATTACGATGCCGGAACAAGATGGCTTCTTCTCGCAAAACCGGAAACAGTCCCTTTCGTCCGTGATTTCCTGTTGCGGTTTGATCAATGTGATGCCGAAGGATATCTTGCCTTCGAACAACTTGGACCAGGAGTTGTAACAATCTGTCGGTGAAAACTTAATTCATTGAGGCTATGTGTTGATGATAATGATGATGAGGAGGAGGAGGAGGAGGAAGAAAAGATGATGACGGTAATGATTAAGATGATGATGATGAGACTATGAAGATGATGATGATGAGACCATGAAGATGATGATGATGAAGATAATGATGATGAAGATGATGATGAGACTATGAAGATGGTGAAGAAGATGATGATGATGAGACGAAGATGATGGTAAAGATAATGACGACAACGACGGAAATAATAACTATGAATAACGTAATTTTAGACTGAGCAATAATAAAGAAAATGATCATGATGATTACAATTTCTCATTTCGATCCCAACGTCATCCTGGCTACTTCAATCAACACAAGTCTTAGCTGGAATATTGCATAAACGAAATGGAAAATTAAAATCATTCCAGTGAAAATTTTAACAACATAACTATCTATAAACTACTACTACTACTACTACTACTACTACTACTACTACTACTACTACTACTACTACTACTACTACTACTACTACTACTACTACTACTACTACTACTACTACTAATGATAATAATAATAGCAAAATATTTATTACTTTTGTTATTTCTAAAAATTTGTATAAATGAGATTAAGAACGAAAGTATGAACAAGAAAATAAAATTTCAGTGCACTCATGATGTAGGTAGGTGAGGTACTCCGCAGCCGACCGTGCAATTATTATTGTGAGGCAAGTATCGAGTAAGAGGTGAAGTGGAAAGGAAACTCGGATTAATAAGGAAAATATGAATGTAATAATAATAATAATAACAAAGTTTAAAGTGGTTCAGTAGACCAGCATCTGTGTAAGAACTACTAGAAAATAAGTGTCCTAGTATCCTAGCTCTCCTAGCTTGATTTTAAAATTGTTGATTGAATCCACTGAGTCAATTTCATTGCTCAGCTCGTTCCAGGCGTTTACTACCTTGCTGCTGAAGAATCTTCGCTTTATTGGATTTTCTGTCTTAGGATGCAATTTTTTTATTATTTTTTCTTATTTTTTGTACATGTTGAAAGTGCATTAACTATTACATTAACTCTGCTTGTGTGCGTGAAAGTATATAATTACATGCCCACCACTGCTAAATTAAAGATTCATGAAAGAACAAAACGCCAATGCCTTCCATGATCCATGGATGATCGTCATAGCAGTTTCAGTGTCAAAATATGAATCCGTCTTTTTAAATATATTTCCATTGTAAACGTGCTATTTAATTTAAATTTATTTCATTTTAAATGTGCCAAATTAAATTTAAATTATTATTCTAATTATATAAGGTTAAAATTCTAATTTATTACTTTTAATCTAACTTTACTTTTAAGTTGGCTTGCAAGTATTGATTGCATGGTAGGCAAAAAAGTGTAATTTTACTAAAATAAATTAACAATTCATATAACTAACACTGAGCACAGGAGAGCACTTTCCTGTAATAAGTCACTCCTCCTTCATACTCGCCAATCACTTGACTACTTCTCAAACATCTGCCATCAATGCCATCATCAACATTGTCATCATCGTTATCGTCGGGGTTTTCGTCATCGTTGCTGTAGAATCCATCGTTTGGACAGACGACGCACTCATTGTCATCTTCTTCAGCTGTTATCACGATGACACCTCTGCAGAGTATATCCTCTGAGCACCTCGACATGCAGGAAACTTCAATTGTTGATGCTTGCCAGTTATATTTCCCCTCTTGCGCTTCCTGCTGCTTCTTTAAGTTTAAAGATTGGTTGATGGCTGGGTAGACGATGCTGTAGGACGGCACGCATTCTGCTCCGTCGGCTTGCGTTAGAGAAACTATGTCATGTAATGTAATGTAATGTAACATGTAATGTCATGTTGCATGTAATGTAATTTAAGATGTAATGTAGTGTAATGATATGATGCTTGAAAATATTTCATGGCACTATCACATTATATTATAATTCATATGATTACACTGAAATGGACGCTGATATTTGTTACGGAATATCAGGCACGTTGAAAACGCTTCACATTTCCAACATTTACACAAAACGTTGTTGCACCAGCCAACTCTACAACAAACAAAACCAACTCTACAACAAACAAAAATTAATCAACTACACGTGTGAACTGTGAAGGAATGACGTAGGAACTAACCGAACATCGCGAACAGTCCGAGAAACGGGACGAGATGTCTTACGAAACATTTTGAGAAAGTCATGTTGCCCTGCAAACCTCCCACCACCAACGTCAGCCCTTCAACAAACTTCATTGCATGTACCACAAAAAACGCCAATTAAATATTTGTTTCATAAACTTTGAAACATAAACATTCAAACTTGAGAATGGTATCAATAATATACAAACCATTCGACAATCCTCGAACGTGTAAGCATTCAACGTTCATTGTATCAACACCTGCCTGTATGGAAGCATTTCTTTCGTACGTTTGTTAATCAGACTGCTTCAGAAACGTGATTGTATGAACTAACAACTGTTGTTTTGTTATTTCTTAATATATGCATATTTTCTACTTCTTTGCTGGTTGTATGCAGTTTTGTGCAACTCAACCGGTGTCCAAATATTCTTATTGTCTTTTTTAATTCTGATAGAAATGTTTTTAATGAAGCAAACTTTTAATTATAAGAAATTTTATTTTCAGTTGAGTACATGATTGTATCTGATTTCAGACAGCACCAAGAACGTTTTTTACACCATAATTAATATTTATTAGCTCGTACGAATTAAAACTGAGTAATGAAACAACATTTTTTGCCACACAACAAACAAATTTAAACAGTCTTCAAACTTTTCAGTTGCAAAACTTCGAAACAAAATTAACAAAACGTCGTCACACAAAAACGAAACAAATAAAAAGTACTGATTTAATAAAATACTGAACGACATTTCAAGATGAAAAAAATCCTCTTGGTTAATTTCTAGCATGCTGGGCAGGCAGCGATCTCCATGCTTGTTCGTACCAGGTGACAGGTGTTAGGAATTTTGAAGAACTTTTTTGATGCTCAAACCAACACAACACAACACGTTCAACAGATCCGGAGCCAGAACGCAATCACAAATTAGTACGATACTTCTTCATCAATAGTGAGATCGTCTCTGTAATCGAACCGGGTTACCATAAAACTGTCCAACAGTGCAATAAACTACGGTGCCCATGCTCTGTAAGCCACACTGCCAACTACGACAGCTTGGACCGTAGCATGCAGAGTACATAAAACTAACAACATCATCAAAACAACGGTAGGCAAAACAAGAAAAAAAGCGCATGCAACTTAAACGCAAGAAAGAGATGGACAGCATTGATATAATTTCAAATTACAACAAGAGAGGTAGGATTATTTTTGCAGGCTTGGCACAGATTGCCATCTCTGATTATGGTTTATAGTAACGACGTCGCTGTAAACTTTTGTAGAAAATGTCGAATTGAATGGCTTGCTCGCTACGTAGGTCGAAGCATCAGCAATTTGCTACTAAAAATTATAACATATAACAATGACTTGGCTTGACATGTGACATAAATTGTAATGATTATTATAAGCATTAAGGTCTTTGAATCAAATATCTCTGAAAATTGGTCTTACTGAATCTATTCATCGTACCAATCCACACGTCATATCTATTGTTCTAGTCCACGCACTGCTACAATGCATGCATCAGACCAATGCATGCATTGTTTTAATCCATGAGTAATATCAATTCATGCTTCGTTTCAATACATGTATTGGTTAAGTTCAAGTATCTTATCAACGCATCCATTGTACCATTGCATGTATCATATCAATCTATATTTCATTTCAATGAATGCATCATATCAATCCATGCATCAAATCAATCGATGCATCATATCATATTGTCTAATCCCAAAACCCAGCCCAATTTTGAATTTTTCGTGCCAATGCATACCAAATCCAGACATCTTAAGAATCAATGCATCATATTAATGCACTCATCGTATTTATCACTTCATGCATCATATCAATCTATGCATTCACATCATATCATTGCATGCATCCTGCCAATGCAAACATCGCATGAATGTTTTTTGATCGCATGATTTTTTTGTCAATTTCAGCCAAATTAAAATTGAAAGCGGAAACTACCTTTCAGCTTTCAAGTAAACGATGCAACAACGACGTATTTGCTTTTGAATGTTCGTTCGTTCGTTCGTTCGTTCGTACGTTCGTTCGTTCGTTTGTATGCTCATTCATTTGATTGTTTGTTCGGTTATTTGTTTGTGCACGCTAATTTTATCTTAAATGAATTTTGTTATTTATTTAAAATGCCGGAAAATGTAATTAACGACCGTTTGAACTGTTTAGAAACAATAAAAAAACATATCAGAGAACAAAATGATCAAAAAAAATCTTTGATGACAACCTTCTTTTCTATTCCTCGCTTCGATGTCTGACGTTTGCATTCATATGGCAGCGCCGTAGTTACGCTGGCCTCATCAGCATCAGCTGCATTGCTCGCTAGCAGGACATGAGGTAGAAACAAACATTCAAGAATGCAGAAGAAAGTTATTTGAAATTTTTAGATGTTTTTTATTTTCTGCTCAACAATTTAATTTTTTTTAATTTTTAACATTCATCTTTTGTTGAAAAGCAGCTGAACAAAGTTTCAAAGATAAAGGCACGGGCAGTCAGTTTTCAACCACTCATTGTTTCACTTCATGTCGTTTTATTTGCATGGATGGCTCAAATAGAAAAGGCAAAATATTGGATAGTAATCTGACTCAAGTTCAAAAAAAAAATAAATGATTAAATAATTAAGCAGTTATTAAAGGCCAGTTATAAATTTGTTCTACTTTAAACAAGAGATGAGAATCAAACCGAATCCAAACTGAACTCGAACCGAGCCAAAACCGAACTTTGCTTACGATCGAACCGAACCCAACCCAAAACGTCTCGTTAAACTTTTAGTTTTTGTTTTAGGCTCCTATCAAAATTCAGCCATTTTCAAAAATTCAAAATTTACTAGATTTTTGGATTAGGCCGTAATTTTGTTTCAAAATTGTCACATAAGTTTAAATATATAAATGTATTTTTGTATGTATGTTTGTGTTTGTATCTACACATGTCTGTACTCGTTTGCACATTATAAAAATTTATTTGTTTGTGATCATTTATGTAATATAAAATAAGTACAGGGTAAATTATTTGAGAAATGATTCTGAGCGAGATAATAGGCTCGTTGTTTATTATTATTATTAGATGATTTTTATAACACCCTTAAAAGTTTCTTACAGGCGCTCCACGTACTTCGAACCTATTGTTGAAAAATGAATGTCTTCAACTGTTTTTTGAAATGAGAAAGCGACAAATTGCGAGCACGCAAAGTTAACGAAAGATCATTCCACGGCTCGTTGTTTAAATTAAATGTTACTTCAAACGATTTTTCATCGAGCACCTCTTTTTCCGTCGACATTCGCACGTTGTTTAGTTTACTGTAAGCTACAGCTTCGTGATTTTAACGTTCGTGAATTTCCGTAATTTTTTCTAATTGTTGAAAAGTGCTTAAAAATTAGGTGTTATTGTATTTTCATGCAAAATTATGTTTATAGAACAAATCAAAAACAAATTAAACTAGCAAGACACATTTAATAAGCCCACAAAAGAACAGGTAAAATCAAACAGGAAATTTCTTACACATAATATTTCTTCATTTCTTAATCTTTTTAAGGCTTTTAGAATTTTAACAATTCTATATTTTTTAATTTATTTTCTAATAATTTATTTTTTCACGTAATTTATTTTCAATTTTCCACCTCATGACAAACTATCTCACAATATCTTTAGTCTTAATTTACGGAAATATAATAAAATATACAAAAAATATACAAAATGAAGTGAAAACTGAAATATACAAAATATATAAGTTAAATATACAAAATGGCATTAAGACATAAACAACATGTAAGAGTTGCTCTCTCTATGAAGCACGACATTTTTAAACGAACGACTGCCTATTTTGCAATAAAAACTCATTTACGATAAACGTTTACAGAATTGTATCAAGTATTAGCTGTTTAGATCAGAAGATGTCTGTTTGGATTTATGGCGATAATGTCGAATAAACATGAATAACCCACAGAAATGTGAGGAACGTTATATTAGTTTCGAATCGATGGCAGGCCACTCATCAACGCTTGATCGTGGCTCTAATGTATGAGAACACCAAACCAGGAAGAACAGGGATGTGCGCTCCAACAATGGTCATCACTCGTCCGGTCGTCATCAATTAGTAATCAATAGGACGCATCGATGAGTAACTGACCAGTCGTTCATTTTGTTTTTTTTTCCAAAAATTTGTTTGTTCACCAAAAGAATAAAACAGGCAATCAAAAAAGCAAGCTTGTGCAGACTACCTTGACTAAGTGCACAAAAATAGGAATTAATTACATTTAAATAGAATGAAGTCACATAACCAGATTTAGAAATATGTCCATTTTCTACCACTTACGCTCTTAATATGACAGGACAACACTGCAATCAAATTATGACGATTCAAATCTCAGAAGGACTCAATTTCAAGCATGATCATATCTTACTCAAGCGCTATTATCTTGAAGTCATTTCACAGTGACAACATCACAAAATTATCATATCAGCATAATGATAAACATCGAAACATCAACATTTTCAACGACACATCAGTCATCAACATTACAAGATGGAACACATAAACAGCCTCAATAATATCAACAACAACAACCACAACAACATCACAACACCATCATTGCATCAACAACATCACAACATCAACAACTCAAACTCAACGACTCAACAACAACACGCAACAACAACACAACAACAACATTAACATAATTTAAACAACAACAATATCATAACATCAACAGCAACGACATCAACAACAACATAACAGGAATCTAACACAACAACATCATGACATCAACGACGAAACTTTAACATCATCAACAACAGCATCATAACATCAACTTCAACAACACAGTATCAATAACAACATCATAACAGCACAACAACCACATTATGACATCAACAACACAATACCATCAACAACAACGTCATAACATCAACAGCACAATATCAACAACAACAACATCATGACAGCACAACAACATCAACATCATAACATCAACAGCCTTTTTGATTTCTATTCTTGGTGGGCGTTTTATTTCACCGGTTTGGTTGAAATGGTGAATAAACAAACTTGAACCAGGCATAAACATGAAGTTAAACCTGACGCATACTGAAATATGCGTTGGAATGTTAAACTTGAAATTATCAACATCAGACAGACCCAACATTTCTAATGACTGTTTAGTGTTCATAAATAGATGCAAAATGTTTGAACGAGTGAACGAACGAATTGATAGATGAATGAATGAATGAATGAATGAATGAATGAATGAATGAATGAATGAATGAATGAATGAATGAATGAATGAATGAATGAATGAATGAATGAATGAACGAGTGAACGAACGAATTGATAGATGAATGAATGAATGAATGAATGAATGAATGAATGAATGAATGAATGAATGAATGAATGAATGAATGAATGAATGAATGAATGAATGAATGAATGAATGAATGAATGAATGAATGAATGAATGAATGAATGAATGAATGAATGAATGAATGAATGAATGAATGAATGAATGAATGAATGAATGAATGAATGAATGAATGAATGAATGAATGAATGAATGAATGAATGAATGAATGAATGAATGAATGAATGAATGAATGAATGAATGAATGAATGAATGAATGAATGAATGAATGAATGAATGAATGAATGAATGAATGAATGAATGAATGAATGAATGAATGAATGAATGAATGAATGAATGAATGAATGAATGAATGAATGAATGAATGAATGAATGAATGAACGAATGAATGAACGGATGAACGAACGAACGAACGAATAAATGAAGGAACGAATGAAGGAGTGAATGAATGAAAGAACGAATGAATGAATGAGGAAAAAAATATGAAATTAGGCTGACAATTGGGCAAATATTGATGAATATGAAAATTTATGGGAAACTAAACAACAAAAACAACAATAGCAACATCGACAACAACAACAAAAACAGCATCATCAACAACATCAACAACAAAAAATACAACATTAACAACAACCGCAATCACAACAACAACATTGACAGTCACAACAACAACACCGACAATCACAACAATAAAAACAACAACAACAACAATGACAATAATAACATCAACAACAACAACAACGACACAATCCATCAAATTAAGAAAGAAAATTTCATCATGCGCACGTTCAGCTTGCAGATGAGACAGCGTCGTAGGAGGCATCAAACAACTGCTGCAACAAACATGACGAGTGCATAAAATCGGACTAAACTGAAAACGAAATAGAGAAAAAACAACAATAAAAAAATCGGTGACTGGCTGAACACAAACATTGAACCCTGGCAGCAACCAAGCCACACTCACACTTTTCAAAGTGGAACAAATGCATGCAACAAGTTTTTATTACTCCACGTCAGCTTTACATACATGTTTCCATATTTTTATGGCTCTACAACTAATTAGAAATACGATGCAGTTCGTCGCCTGACTCATTTCCATTCATTCATACCAATTCATTCTTATCTGCCCACTTATTCACTTTTATTCATTTCTTGTGTATTCATTCCTGCCTTTTCATTCTTGTTCATTCATTCATTCATTCATTCATTCATTCATTCATTCATTCATTCATTCATTCATTCATTCATTCATTCATTCATTCATTCATTCATTCATTCATTCATTCATTCATTCATTCATTCATTCATTCATTCACAATCATTTGTGTTCATTGATTCGTGTGTACTTGCTTGTGGGCGCTCATCCCCTCATTCATCCGTCCTTGACATTGACTGTTTGTTGGATGAGCAATCTTATTTACGAGCAGGTCTGCAGTTATTTTTGGAACAAATGTTTCTGCCATTTACTTCATCTTCTGTGAGATGATGATAATACTACTACTACTACTAATAACAACAACAATAATAATAAGTATTATTATAATTGTTTTTATTATCATCATAATTACTCCTCACGTTCGTTGATGTTCTCAACAAACCAACGCCACATTTTTCAGCCTTCCTCGCAACTTCCACCGCTACAAACACGCACGAGACACGAACACACCAACCAGCTGATGAGAAAAGCTGCCTGCCACATGTTCAAGTCAGGAAGAGTTTTATGTGTTGACCGGGCAGGCAATCGAACCAGGTCAGCATTCATCAGTCTGCCATAATTCAGTCTTCAGTGATGTCCAATTATTCATATACGAACTAATAAATAAAGACAATTAACTTGTTAGAATTGGTTACATCTCTGACATCACATGGCTGCAACAAAACTTTGAAAACATTTTAAGGGAACTAAATTCTGTTTGCACTCTAAATTCACTTAGAGTTGCACTAAATAAATTAAGTGAAAAAATTCAAATGTTTGATAACTTTCATACTCGTAGTGACGCTCATCTTTAAACATTGCTCAATTCAAACTATAAATATTCATTTCTTATAATCAATAACCATTAAATGCTCAATAAATACTTAACATCGTACGGTGGGCAACTTAACAACTGATCCCTTTCCTGATGCATGCCTCTTCCATCTACAACCTCCCACCAAACCCCTTCCATCTTACCCCCCCCCGTTACAAGCCTCTGCATGAACACGCCTATATGTCTTATAAAACAGATTTTTAAACGTGTCCTTACGGAATGTGTGTGT